GAAATCGCATGCACTCCACAAGATAACCTACAGTCCACCCAGGGAGAACACGAGCGTCACAGCAATTTTCTGACGAAAGGTGATCTGTAGCCCCCAAACAATAGGTGTGGGTAGACACAGCACAATGACATCCTCAACCAGAGAAATCGCTCCCATCGCCTGGAAGAAGGCTCGCTGACCGCTCATGCAATGTCCGTTGAGATCCTTGTCATAGTAGTACTGAACTGGAGTACATTGAAAGATATTGACAAGCAGGGCCGAGAGGGCCCAACAGGCAATAAAGCCCATTAGGACGTTCGAGATAATTGCATAGGCGCGCACCGTTCCTAGTAGACGCTTCAGGAACACGACGATCGATATCTTCACAAACGCAGCCGACGGCGCCCAAAATTTCTGAATCATCCATGAACCCTGTATCAATTTCGTGCATCGGTTAGTGGATGCCATCGCGAACAATGTGTTGCCGTTGAGAACATACAAATTGGATACGTCGCCGTTCGTCAGCCGGCAGAGAGCTAACTGGTAAACCCACGCCATTGAATGCGGCTATATGCGCAGCAAGAATTAGTATTCACTAGGTCGGCCAGCTATGCATGAGAAATGCGAGCAACTCACTGTCCACAACAAAGGCGGTTGCGCAGTAGGAAAGAATCAAGCCCACGCCCATCAACCAGTCCTCTACTTTCAGACCGGCGGTGGTGAAGCGCCGCGAATATAGTCGCAAGACATACGAAACGGTGGCCAGGGCAGCACCAATGATGGGTACGATGGTCAGGACATTCTTCCAGTACCGATTCTCTTCGTAAGTCATCCTGCACGGCCGGCGATACGAGTCAGCGATGCAGGGAGCAGCGACCAGGCGGGTCAGGCGATTCCATATAAGTTTCCCATTTCAGGGAGGGGGGAAGAGGGGGATTTGTGGTCTTCTGTGGTTCTGTGCAAGAAGGATCCGAATTAATGAATAATATTACGAAAGGGCTGTCGTCGCCACCAGAACCTAAAGGGCAAGGGGATGCGATTCTTTAACTCAGACTCAGCCCGGTCGGAGTTACGATAAAGATTGGGAAGGCGTCCGCTAATTTGTGCAAGACTATTTGAACCGGATGCAGGTTTCATTGGCTTTTCATTTCCACGGCTCGGCGAATTTTTAACTTTTTTAACTTTCTCCGCCGCTAGATTGACGAGCCAGAACTGAGACCAGAATAGATTGACACTGAGTAAGCGGCGATAATTGATCGAGGTGGCTTGTCTGCGACCGTGGTTCAGAGGTCGATCTTTCTGTCCGCCGTGTTCAATGCGCTGTGCGTCCCGCTGGGAACTGGTCCGTACCACTGCGATCATCAGCGTATATCTGGTGGTGATAAAAACCCCAGCAATCCATCAGCTGGGATTCTGGGGGGCTGAGGGGAGACATGGCAAGGATCATCGGTGGTTGTGTGGATAAATTCCTTCGCGTGGTCTATGCCGGCATGCCGTGCGATGGGCTTCAGGGGTCTTCCTGCAGGAAGATAGTTACCGAGCGAAGAAAACCCGAGAGACAACGTGGTGCAATCAATTTGAGACGCTGGTCTCAGATGGTGTCCACATGGTCCAATTGTGCAGATACACAATGGTAGTAGTGGTCTAATACTTTTAGTACTCCGTGGTAATCTAGCGTAGGGTGAAGAAGGCAGCCACGATCTATTGTGTGAGGGCAAACGTGGTGGTGTGCATTCAAGGAAAAGCTTCGGACGTCGACCGAAACCTAACTCCACTTACCAACAAGCCCCAACGGGGACCTGCGTCAAGATTCCACCCCTTGAACATTTATAATTGGTGGCACTACATAGTTTATACCAACCATGGTGGAGCAAAGGGTCCACTTGCAACTCCATGCAGCTTCCTTGGGTTTTCTTCACAGCTACGGGCCCGGTTGCGGCGTATGTCGCCCAACTACCGCATCTCGCACTCTCCAGCTACCAAGCAATTCTTCCTCCACAACCCACAACCTTTGCCCACCCAGTCTTCAATAGCTTTGAATCGTATGAATCGTATGAGACATTGAATTGGTCCGTTCATTCCGTTTTTCCCGAAGGTAAGAAAAATTTCTCCTGAACGTTGGCCCCGACCGTTCATTCAAATGGTCGCGATCGTCGCTGTTTCCCCGTTCCCTTCCGCCGAGTTTGTCTCACAGTCGCGTGGCAGCCCTGAAGAATGACGCCTTCGCCTTCCAAGACCTCGTTGGCCCTTCTGGCCGTCCAATTCTTTGGACTGGGCTCCGCTTGTGGTTGCTCATGCACTCTGGATAGCCTCAACGCTACCCTTCAGGGTCGTGTACAGCCCTTGACCCCTTTCTCCCTCCCTTGCTTCTCCAACTACAATGGCCAGTCCGTCACCCCCAACGATGCCGCCTGTGCCAACATTCAGGACAACTACACCGACCCTTATCTCCGCACCAACTCTCCCAATGGTTACATGAACAACCAGGATGAGATGTGCTCGTCTAACCCCGAGGATCAATGTCTGCTCGATAGCAGTGACCCCACCGATCCTCTGGCTTTTGTCAACCAGACCTGCCGTCAGGGTAACATGCCCTCCTACTACATCGAGGTCAAGGATGACTCCGATGTCCGCCACGCTCTGCACTTCTCCAACTGCTCTGGTACCCGTCTGTCCATCAAGAACAGTGGTCATGATTACCTGACCCGCAGCAGCGGCAAGGGTACCTTGGCCCTGTGGACTCGCAAGCTGCAGAACCTCAGCTACAGTCCCGCCTTTGTCCCCGACGGCTGCCAGGCCTCCTACAACGCTATCACTGCCGGTGCTGGTGTTAACTTCGATGAAGCCTACGAGTTCGCTCACCAGAACAACGTCACCATCCTCGGTGGTTACTCCCCCACCGTCGGTCTCTCTGGCGGTTGGGTCATGAACGGTGGCCACTCGGTCCTCTCCCCTGTCTATGGTCTTGGTGTCGACCGTGTCGTCCAGTTCAAGGTCGTCACCCCGGATGGCGAGCTGCGTATCGCCAACGAGTGCCAGAACCAGGACCTCTTCTGGGCCCTGCGTGGTGGCGGTGGTGGTACCTTTGGTGTTGTCCTCGAGAGCACTCACCGCGTCGAGCCCACCGTCAGCTTCGTCGCCGCCATCATCAAGTTCACCAGCAACTCCACCAACGTCCTCCCCTTCATGGACATCGTTGTCAACAACACCCTGAAGTGGGCCAAGGAAGGCTGGGGTGGTCACGTCACTGGTGACACCCTCGTCAACGTCTCCCCCCTGCTCTCCGTCGCTGAAGCCAATGCCTCCATGGCCGAGGTTGCCGCCTACGCCAAGGCTCAGGGTGGTTCCGCCGTCATCGAGGCCTTCTCTTCCTGGTACGACTTCTACGAGAAGTACGTTACCTCCAGCTCCGTCAGCGTTGGTGTCACCCACTTCGCTGGCAGTCGCTTGGTCCCCACCGACGTCTTCGAGACCGCCGAGGGTCGCTCCAACCTGATGGACTTCTTCAAGCTCATCCTCGCCAACGGCCAGACCCCTTACATCCCCGTCGTCGCCCCCGTCCTGTACAACTACACTGAGGGCTCCACCAGTGCCTCCCCTGCCTGGCGCAAGTCCGTCTGGGAGCTGGGCTCCGGCAGCAGCTGGGCCTGGAACAGCACCCTGCAGACCCGCGAGCAAAAGATTGCCACTCTGCAGAACATGACTGCTACCCTGGAGCGTATCACCCCTGGCAGTGGCGCCTACAGCAACGAGGCTAACGCTTTCACTGTTGACTGGCAGGAGGCCTGGTGGGGCGACAACTACGAGAAGCTCCTCTCCATCAAGAACAAGTATGACCCTACTGGTCTGCTGAGCTGCTGGAAGTGTGTCGGCTGGGAGGACTCCCGGGCCAACAGCACTTGCTTTGCTGCTTTTTCTTGAGCCACTGGCTATTAGTCTGCTCGGTCTTAAGTTGTAAATATAATCAACCCACTGGTAGTGGGAAGACGCGATAGATTTCGTTCTTGTTCAACGACTTGATTTGTATATTATGTCAAGCATTAGATGATTCTGTATACGTTTTAATGATTGAAGACATTCACATGTTTCCAATAGATAATTCACTCTTGCATAGTGTCCAGGTTTACCGGGGTCCTTCGTACATTTTTTGTAGTCATACCGAATGCGACAAGCACTTCCTCTTGTGTTCTCCACTTCACCGCTGGTTTCGGCGTATACTACCTTTTTTTTCTTCCCAATGAAACCAAACACACAAAAAGCATTGATAAGAGGCTTCCAAATGGTTCACGTATCTTACCTGAGACTGAGCCAGCAAAGGTAAAACGCAAATGTACGATATAGGTGGTTATCTGTGGTTTGAAGCAGATGGGTCGGATGGGGATCACGGAATATATTTTTGCATCCACTTGGAACGGCACGGCGAAGAGGGGGGGGGGGGGGGGGTTTCCTACTACATTCACTTTAAGTGGTTAGTACACAAAGTATACTGCGAATTCAGATGAATGTAGACGATTGATGAATACTCTAAATTGGACTCCTATACGCCATGGCTTCTATAGTGGAAATGTTAAAGACCCCACAACCCTTAGGCCCTGGCTGTGAAACAGGTGGCCGACCGGGCCAGCGCCAAGAACAATATAGGGATGAAGGGCCACATTCCTCAACACCATAGCATTGCTGGAGACTAGAATTTCAATAAAGTAGGACCATTCTCAGGTTCTTTCCCTTCGTCACGGACATGAGTTGAAGACAAGAGTAAGGGGGAAGAGAATCCGAGCTAGGGCGACCAGTGAGTTAAACATGAATCCACTAGGTAAAATAGAATGTTATCACGTCCTCACCAACTGTAAGACTGTTTCTATACCACGCTCCTACGGAATTAGACAATGAGGTTGTTAAACTGACGGTAAAGACGCGGATAACATAATGTAATGTTCAATGCGATAATAACATGACTGGCTCCCAGATATCCCCTCGTGCAAGCCTAGCTAATGGCCAAGTTGGTGACGAAATATATTCAATCAGGACCAACCCCGAGGCAGCTTACTCCGACTCGTAGCAACCCCAGCCAAGGAAGTAATCGTCGCGCGACCGATAATATCAAACGTAGCAACGTCCGCCTGTACCTCCTTGGAGAACCACGTCCGCAGTTCTACAGCGACTAGCGAGTCGACACCATATTGATGCAGGGCCTTATTATCATCCAGGCTTCCTTCCTCCACAGACAAGGTCCTTGCCAGCTTGACGGTCAGGGCCTTGGTCACCGCAGCGGTTGCATCAGCCATTGACCCTGCCCCTCGGAATGCAGAAGCAAGATTGATGGACTGGCCTTGCCGCTCACGATGCCCCTCCGAGGATCGCTGCTGAGCCATGTAGCGGAACATAGGCCTTTCAAGCCAGTAGGCTTTGGTTGTTGCGCCCTCGTGTGGTCGCATCCCGAACGATGGTTGGCATGGAAGGCCTCTTTCTTTGCAGAGCGTCGGGTTGCAGTAGACATCAAGTAGCGCGTGGAACTCAGGCTCTGTGATAGGCTTGTGTGGGAAGACATCAAGCATGATCTTGAGGAGTCTGGGGTCTCGTGCAACTCGTCCTGTGAATGTGAAGAGCCCAAGATCCAGGGAGGCGGCGTTCTCACCACACTGTACTCGATGGTGTGCCAGTGCGTCTTGAAATGTGTTTCCTGCTGCGTAGTTGACCTGGCCTACGTGCCCAACTATCCCGTTCATGGAAGAAAGCATGATAAAAAAGTCAAGTCCACGGGGGAGGAGCTTGTGCAGGTTCCAGGATCCTTGGGCTTTCGGGTTGACGGCAGTTTGCCAGTCACTATAACTCATGTCTTCAAACCCGACATCCTAGTCAAAGTCAGAATATTAGCTGTGCATGATATCTTGCTGGAGGTCAGAATAATTTGCCTACCTGCAATACCATCGCGGCTTGGATACAGCCCCTGATTGGGGGCATGTGTGAAGCGGCCTCGTCAATTGCTGCATGCAGAGCACGCTCGTCCGCCACATCGCAGGCGCGCACTTGAGCGTTGACGCCATCGTCCTTCAGTCGACTGAGGAACTCTTGGGCATCGGCGCCTTTACCGCCTGAACGAGATAAAAGGAGGAGATTCCGAGCCCCCCTGCCGACCAACCATGTAAGCATACTCTGACCGAGCCCGCCTAGACCACCCGCGACCACATATGTCGCGTTTGAGTCGAAGGAAGAATTAGATTTCGATTTCAGCAATGTCTGCAACGGGAATCTGTCAGCTAGGTAGGTCAATGACTGAGGGAGGGATAAATACCTTGACAATATCTTCCTTACGCATTTCTATCACGATTTTACCATAGTTCTTGCCAGACTGCATGTGTCGGTACGCCTTTTCTATCTCACCGACACCATACACATGGGTTGGATCCTGCGGGCTTAACTTTCCTTCGTCCATCAGGTTCATAACCGTCTCTAAAGCAGCACGAGACACGCGTTGATGATCCTGCTGAAGCAGTGCCAAGTCAAAGCAACTGTAAGTAACGTTCTTCAAGAATCGTCTCATTGGTAGTTTGGCATTTGCCAAAATGTCCTTCTTCCCCAATTCAACGAACCGCCCATAGGGCGCGGTACATTCCCAGGACTGTACTAGGCCTTCTCCGGATAGAGAGTTCACCACAATGTCCACACCCTTTCCGTCGGTCATTTGCATAATCGCTGGGGCAAAATCAGTGGAGCGACTGGAGAAGATATGGTCTTCGGGGATAGGGTATCTCTCCATGATCAATTTCTTCTTCTCCTCCGTCCCAACGGTAGTATATATTTCCGCCTTATGGTATAAGGCTATCTGGATAAGGGCCTGCCCTGTCCCACCGGCACCAGAGTGGATGAGAACGGTCTCTCCAGCTCTGATGCGTCCCACTTCTATGAGTGAGAACCATGCTGTTAGGAAGCTCGTTGGGATTCCTGCTGCTTCGGCATACGACATCCTCGGCGGAATGTGTACCACCGGAGTGTCCTCGCCGAATATAGTTCGAGCCTGGAATGGCTGGGGAACAAACCCTACTACTCGGTCACCTGGCTTAAATCTGGTGCACTTGCTACCAACTCTGGTCACCAAGCCAGCACCTTCCTGCCAGGCTTCCGCGTAAGGGATTTGCCCCAACGATAAGAGGATGTCGCGGAAATTTAGACCAGCACAATGAATCTCAAGCTCGACCTCTGTGTCTCCAAGGTCCATTGTGGATTTGGCCTCTATAAATCGGAAGCCCTCCGAAATGCTGGAACTGCTTGAGTCCAAACACAGTGGAATATCTCCGAATCTTCGTTCACACTCAATTTGATCCGATAACTGCAGTGACACCTCTTCGTTGAGCTGCGCACTATCAGTGAGCCGCGGATTCAATATCATGCCATCTCGCACAGTGTATTCAGTATCCAGCCCCTGTGCCGGAGGATGTAGAATACTTTGAATTATTGTGTAGACCAATTCTTGATTCGTCGTCCCCTCTAGTGACAAGATATATCGGTTCTGGCGTCCGTCCTCGTGAGTTAGAACCCGGAATATACCCTCAATTAGGTGGAGGTTCGGGTTGGTCGCAAAGGTATCACTTCCTTTGCTCACCCACAATGTTGTTGCAGAAGAGGTGAAGAGCTTCTGGAGCACAGCCCATAGGGCTTGTTCCATATCATATAGTGACGACTTCTCAACATCAAGAAGAAAGACGCGGAGCACGTCTTGGGTATCAGTGGAGGCCTGGTTCACCGACACGCAAGCCACGCGGGATTTCAAACGGGACTGACATTCTTGCTCGAGGAACCTAGCAAGATCAAGCTGTTTTGCCTCATTTGGTTCGTACACGATCTCAATACTAGGGTTCCAGCTCAAAGGCTCGTGGCTTTGCTGGGCGGTTGAGACAAAGACGGCATGCTCCTGAAAACTTTGGCCGTCGAAGTCGGGGAGATAGATGTCGCAGCCTGTGAACCCTGTTCTTTGAAGTACGTCATGCCAGCGTGCTCTGTCAACACAAGGCCCGTAGACACGGTAAGGTTCGGAGCCTGTCCCAATAGTCAGTGCCGTCACCGCTACGCAGGAAGCAGAATTCTTGGCAACCAAGAAGCACGAGTAACTTACTGAGCCACCACCCTTCGAGAAGTCCGAAGGACGCCGCAGAACGAAACGGGTTCGTCACCTCAGCCAGCACGAGCTTCCCCCCACTATATGCGTCAACAAGGTCAGTGGTTCCCAGAATGTATACTAGAGTTCTCGGTAGACGTACGGCTTAAGGAGCTTCCGTATGTTATTCAATGTGCGTTCCAAACTATGGGTCGCATGTACAACCTGCAAGGAAAAGAGTTAGCGGTAAAGTAGGCTCAGTTTACGGTAGGTCAACGCACCCATCCAGCAACGATCATATCATAGCTTCCAGCTTCGAACCCCTGTTCCTCCGGGTCTTCCTCAATGTTTAACTTCTTGAACTGCATTCGCAACCCCTCTTGTCCAAATCTGGTAGAGGCTTTTCCGAAGAAGGAGCGTGAAATATCGGTGTAATCCCATCTAGTATACCTGGAGCCGGAAGGGTGTCCAGAAGCTCCCAGGGCCTTTAGGCACGCTCCAGTGGCAACCCCAGTCCCGGCACCTACCTCAAGGACGTTCATTCCAGGGTTTGTATGAGCCATGAGGTCCATAAACCTTGGAAGTGATGTCCCGAAGTCGGCCACAGCCATCTGCCATCATAGGAGGTTAGTGGCTTACGGAAAGGGGGAAAGGGAATAGAAGGGGTACCCACAGTGCCTTCATAATAGTCATCGACCATGGTACCGGAGAAGAAGAACTCCAGCGGATCTAGGGCATCGGTGAGGAAATCCAACAGGTTTCGCCCAACATTAACAGGAAGCCTGGAGATTGGCGCCTTCTCGAGCAAGCGGCTCTCAACGTCATGAATATATTTCCAGTCTTGTAACAGACTCTTCCACTGATCTGAAGAGTACACCAGTTCGTTATTTTCCAGACGATCCTTTTGGTGTGCGGCCCACTGAAGGTATTTCTTCAAGTAAGGCTTCGCGGGTTGTTTCTTCTGGAGAGTGAATAACCGGTAGGCCTCTAATACACGAGCAAGCACAACGAAATCAAGCTCGATAAGGAGATCACGAGAGGGAGTCTCGGACGACCTCCCCCGACAGTATTCTTCTATCGCAGCGTTTTCAACAAGACGAACATCCGGCTTCCATTCAATTTCGGAACAGAGTGTCCCACCCGTTGTGGATACCTCGCTGCTGGACCGAACGTTATCTAGCAATGTGCATTTGAGCCCATCAACAAGAACGATGGGCTGCTGAGAATCGGCTCCGAATGCGGTGATCGAGCCGACTACCTCAGTTGAGGACGCAAAGTCCCCCTGTGCCAGGATCTTGAAGGTTTCTGATGCACCAGGCAACCCGTTCTTCAGAACCTGTAGCCTCTTTATGTGTGTCGGGACATAGGTAGGGACAGCTTTGGCTCCACATCCTGCATTGACGCATAGCAATGTCTGAAACATTGCATCCAGAGCAGTCGGGTGAAGTGTTGAAGGGGGTGTAATTAGGCGATGATGAATAGATCCCACAACCGTGTTACCATCTTCCTGGTCGTAGGAAAGAGCTGTAATTCCTTGGAAGCTTTCACCATATTCGTACCCATATTGTCTCAGATTATCGTAGATCTTAGTGATATCCACCGTTGACCCGCACTTTTGCTGGGCTTGCACCAGTGTTTGCCGAAGTTGTGTGTCAATCCGCTGTTGAACCTGGTTATTCTTGACCGGGTCTGGTTCTTGAGCTTCATATGTCACACGGATGGAGCCTGTGCAATTTGTCGTCCATGATGACCCTAGGGCGGTATAGAGGCCGAATTCGAAGAAGTCGGAATTTTTGGCCCGCATGCTGCTCACGGGCTGCATAGAGAAATTTGTCTCCACATCGCCATGTCCTGGGATTTGAATGGCTGCATGCAGGGTTGTATCGAGTACCTCAAAGGAGTGTATCTGGCGTCCGTCTCGACATAGCTGCTTCCCCGCCTCGACCGCCATGAGGATCATTCCCGCGCCAGGGTACACCACTGACCCATTTACCTATAAGGATCTGTCAGCCGTATTTTCCCGGGACACTGCAAGTTGGGAAAAATGAGAGTGTTACATGATGATCCTGAACCCAAGGTGTGTCGGAAGTCCGGATAATATGCCTCCAACGGGGCTGAAGTGGGTTCCAGCAAGGATCCGGCGTGCCCAGAAGTTCGTGTTTGCCGAACGGGGGCCTGCGGATATTGCGACTGATCTGGCTTTCATGCCAATAGGACTTGTTGTGGTTGAAGGGATATTCCGGTAAGTTATTAAGGCAGAGAAGATTCCTCCCTGACATTGTCTGGGAGTCCTGATTCAAAGCGGCCAAATCAACTGGATGGCCACTTGCCCATAGATATCCCACTGCATCTAACAGTGTTGATGTAGCAGCCACGTTGCGCTTAAGCACGGAAAGATAGTGGACTGAGGTGCGCTTCAGCTCTGCAAGAATGGACTTGATAGGCCCCTGTAGTGCCGAGTGTGGACCGATTTCTAGCAGATGATGGACCTGCAGGGACTTGCAATGACTGCCATCGAGTTTATCCGGGGGTGAAGTAGTGGATGCACATGCCACGCTCAAGGCCTCGGAGAACTTCACGGGTGACACCAAGTTGCGCGCCCAATATCTTGATGTTTGTAGTGTTTCTGATGTTATCCAGTCTCCCGTAACAGAGGACACCATGCATGGACCGTGGCCTTCAAATTGATCGGCCACTTTCTCAAGTGGCCCGATGGCTGCCTCATACTGAGCTGCAATCTCATGCATTTGAAACGAGTGGTAGGCTACCTTAACCTTTAATCGCCTGCAGAATATCTGGTCATTGTCAAGGAGAGATTTGAGATCCTCAATCTGCGATTCTTCGCCGGAAATAGTGGTGCTGTTGGGGCCGTTGATACAGGCTACGGTAAGCCGGAGAAGGACATGGTTTTTGGTGACTTTGTCAAAGTATGCAAGGACTTCCTTCTCACTCAGTGCAACAGCAAGCATACGTCCTCGCACGTAGCTGTGCTTTTCCAGATTGCTGCTCCAGAGGCCTCGGTAGAAAGCAATTCTCCAAGCATCACGTCGAGAGATAGCGCGAGTGGAGTATCTGTAACCGCGTTTAGTACTGCACATCTAATTGATTGGATAGGTTAGGGTCATACGCAGCAGCGATCTCTCCGGAAGAATGTCCAACGACCTTTTTGGGAACAATCCCGAATTGCTCAAGGAGGTCAACGAGTGCAACCTGCAACGCAGTGCATAAGGTCTGGCTGTGGTCCGTAAGGTTAATTGGAGATTCCGATTCACTCTTCTGCAGAGCATCTAGATTGGTGTAAGTATCAATTACAGAAGATTCGGGGCTGATAATGCTTACCCAACAGGTTCCAGTGGCACCCTAAGGTTTGTAAATAATCGTTTGCTGCCTGGATGCTGTTATAGAAGGTCGAGTATGTCGTAAGCAGCTCTCGACCCATTGCATACCACTGGGCGCCTTGCTTTACGCCGCACAAAAGATGTTAGTGCCGCATGGCTTTGTGGGTGTCTATATTTTGGACACTTACCCCAGAAAATATGTAAGCTATATTGGGTGAGGGAATAGATTGCCCCGGGGAAACTACACTGTCAGGAATCGTTGCCCAATCGTCGCTCGGTTGAGTAACAGCGTACGCTCGCCATTCAAGACACGACCTCCTTGCAGATAAGGTATGTGCTAGACGGAACAGGTAGCGAGGGCGTTCTTCTGGTTCGATATTGAGACCAGCAAAGAAAGGCTTCCAAGTCTCCTGTAACCGCATGATACCTTCCTTGTCGGCGAAAGACCACACAAGCAGCCTTGCCATATCCGACGACCTTGTCACTGTCCGCCCAAGTGTGGGAATAGCTGGCCCATTGATGGTTGCTTGCAGCCTAAGGTCATTCTTCACGAGCTCAGTTGATGCGTTATCTAGGACTATGTGAACATTGGTGCCCCCAAAGCCAAAAGAGCTGACGGAAGCCCTTCGGATACCATCAACAGGCCATGGAATAGCCTTCCGAGGGACCTGATCACTATCAGCGCTGCCAGTCTGGATGTTTTAGGTACCAGTTCAGACCTTCACGTGCAAGAATTCCTCGTCTATCCTAGGATTCAAAGTCTGGAGGTCTGTATTTGGTGGGATAATTCCCTTCTCCACCGCTAAGATGGCCTTGAGAACCCCGGCTACTCCGCTTGCGCCTTCAAGGTGGCCAATGGTCGACTTAACGGATCCACTGAAAACAGTCAGAGTCTTCAATATACAATAGCATTGAGGATACTGACAGGTAGACCGGTTCGTCTGAGCTGCGATGTGGACGAAAGATATTGCCTATGGCTCGAGCCTCGATGGGGTCGCCTACGGCGGTTCCTTACTTCGCCATTCTGCTTAGCAAAATTGCACAGGCTCTCAAATTAATCATCAAAGTAACAAACTTTGTTTTCTTACCTGTTCCATGGCCCTCGACATATCGAGTAACATCCAAGCTTAGGCCAGCTCTCTCATATGTATCCCGATAGAGATCCTCTTGCCTTTCCATGCTAGGCTGCGTTATACCAGGTGTTTTGCCATCTTGGTTGGAGCCAGTGGACCGAATGAGAGCTCGGATGGTGTCGCCATTTTTAATAGCCTCACTTAGTGGGCGTACGATTAAAGCCCCCACTCCTTCTCCGCGAGAATATCCATTGCCCCTCTGATCGAAGCTGTACGATCGACCATCTTTGGACAAGATGCCAAGGTTGTCTAGGGCTAGAACGGTATCCAAGCCGAGAATTGCATTACAGCCGATTGCCATTCCCTGCCGGATAGTTGTTAGTGGCGCAACGAATGACTTGGCGTGGGAGGGCTTATTCAGACCAGCGTAGATTCGCCATTCCAGATGGACTGACAGGCAAGATGCAAAGCCATCAAACTACTTGAACATGCAGTATCGACATTAGCACTTGGGCCTTTGAGGTTGAAAAACCAGCTCACTCGGTTCGCGAGCATATTCATAGAAGTCCCAGTAGCATGACCTTTTGGCAAGGTCATAAGATCTTTTGCGTGAAGCCTCTGGTAGTCATTACCAAATGCACCGGTAAAAACAGCCATCTTTGCTCCAGTAATTGCCTCAATGGGATATCCTGCATTTTCGAGAGCATGATACGCTGTTTCGAGGGCGAGCCGCTGTTGTGGGTCCATCGCCTCGGCTTCCGCAGCAGAGATGGAGAAGAAGCCTGCATCGAAATGGCCAATATCCCCTTCCAGAAAATTCGCTTTCCGTTGGGACACCCTGTCCAAGTGACTGTAGTCTGGATTGTACCATGCATCAACGTCATATCGGTCTGGAGGAACCTCCTTTGCTGCAGCTCTGCCACTTAGGATCAGTTCCCAAAAGGCGTCAGGTGTGACAGCCTCCCCGGGAAAGCGGAGAGATATGCCAATTACTGCCAGGGGTTCCAGATGTTTCCCTGCCATGTTGCTCGAAGAATGCAAAGACGAGGGGGCGGCGGGATGAAGTGATGAGATGGATTGATGGCTTTGTATGCTTTGTAAATAAGCTTGGCTAAGAGATACCATAGGTCAAGACCTAAATCTACCCTGGTACCACAGTCGTCTATAAGTACCCATCTCCTGCTCTAGATAACGTCAAAGTTATCCCGGTTACCCCTCAGGCAGTGACTCAATGTGGCGAAGTGGTCATGCGGCATTCTTCATTGTCCACAAACTTTCATCGATCGCGATGAAATGTCTTGCTTATCGTGTATCTCACAGACGTTGTCGCGGGCTAAGATCTACCCTGCTATCCATAACTCTAATGTATATTCTCATTTCGTCTTCTAGCATGAGGTATGTGTTTCGCATGAATTTCACATGACGTGGAGATCGTAGTGACTGTAAGGGATGAGCTGTTTATGTCCTGAAAGGGACGCAGATGATGTATAGTCTTATCGTGGCTACTTGCACAACATGCTGCATCATACATTGCGAGTTTACTGTTCACGAGCAAGGCTTGGGGTGGAAATTAGAAATGAGTTCATTGAAAAACATAAATAGCAAGCTCTATGAGGTTTGTGAATTTGAGATTTGAGGACAGAACTATCTCAGTTTACATCACCGCAGCACAAAAGATTAGTAACGGACAGTGATACATCAAGATACAGTCATTGAATTCTTGCCTCTGCCAAAATGCGCTTTCTATGGTAGAGTTCATCTTTCCACTTTGCAAGCGCCTACTCATTGACACTGACACTGAAATTTGACAAGCTTGCATGGGATTGGAAGCAATTCCAGAGTAAGTAGAAATCTTATAATTCTTAGCCCCACGTTCCTGGCGACGGTCGCGCTCACTAACAATGTCAAAGGTATTCGAGCAACAGACAGGTGGCCAGTCCCTCTGTACAAATTGTTAAGGCGGCGTCGAATAACATGCTAAACATACGCAAATCATCATAGCGGCACTGCGCTATGAACTAGGAGAAAGTCACACCTTCGACTTTGTGGAGGGAACCATTCCATGGGAAGCTTGTAAGGGGATCAACTCCAACCAGCGAGAGCTATGTATCCATAATTGACTTCATTAGCTGTGGAATCAATTATCGAAACAGGGGAGGCAACCTTCGCGTATTGCGACCCACACCAACCACAATCGTGTCTGCAGGCGATCAACGACCTAGAAAGATATCTTCGCGTGAAGGGGCCCTACGATGGGGTGATGGCATTCAGTATGGGTACTTGCTTGGCCCTGACCATAATGATCGACCATGCTCTGAAAGAAGGCACGCAAGAACCTCCATTCAAGGTGGCTGTCCTTTTTTCCAACCCCGAAAAGCCCTTTGACATGGAATCATTGCGTCAGGGGCGGATTGAACCATGGGATCCCCGGCCAATAATCTCCATTCCAACAGCACATATCTGGGGCTCAACAGATTACCTCGGTGAGTATGCGGCACTGGCTCCTGAGTACTGCAGGAAGAGCAGCGAGGCCATCTTTGTGCATAAAGGGGGTCACACTGTCCCTACTTCGACAGAAGAGGTGATACAGATTGCCAACGTGATCCACCGGGCGATCGGCGGGGTTTGAATTTTACTGTCTACCTTGGGATGTCATGTGGCACATGCAACTTGATAATGTTGACAGACTTTGCTTTTGCTGATGTGACGATGTCAAGTGTCTCAGGGGAAGGAATGATGCAGAAATCATGATTGTGTGATAAGCTGAAATGTAGTTTGAGCGTCCTCACGTTCCGCCCCATTACTAGAAGAGTTCAGGTTGCTGCAGTGGTTCGTAAAATGTCATTCCTGCAAGTATTGCGGGTCGCACGCTTTATGCAGGCGGCCGTATCGGTGATGATTCTTCGGGCTCTCCATTCCCAAAGGACGGGATCTTCATCAGATAAATGCAAGGACCCTTTTTGTGCTACCGTTGGGAATTCCTAAGCCGGACGCGGGCAACCCAAATAGGTCCGGGGGAAACAAGAAGGCCGGGCTACACTTCCCTGAAGGTCTCCAAAAACCCCATCGTCTGTTAACCGCAAGGCCTCCATCCTAAGTTGTCTCGCTCTCGACAATTCTTACGTCTCCTTTTACTGATTAGAGAAGGTCTGGACACATTTACTTTCAATGGGGCAATACGATGCCACGGATTCAGATGTCGGGTCCGGTGAACAGGTTTGGGATGGTGGACTGAAGGGAACTCGCCTCTTTCTTGGAGGCACGGGGTAGGGCAACTGCTATGAGTATATCGGTCTACAGCTAATCTTTCCGGTCGGGGGAGGCTCTACGTGTCTTTCTTTCTAACAGGACTCGAAAGCACAATTGTCAGTACCTCCCTGGTTGCCATCACAGATGACCTACGAGGGTTTGGCCGAAGCAGCTGGATCATCACCTCCTACCTTCTAACATATGCGGGTAAGAGATTCATCGTCCGAAATCGCCCCTCCTACTTCACACGCTCACAGCTCGTTTCTAGGCTTTCTCATGATCTGGTCGAAAGCCGGCGACACTTGGGGCGTGAAGCCCATGTTGCTAACTTCGCTCGCTATTTTCACGGCGTTCTCGGGAGGCTGCAGCGGTGCGCGTACTCTGTCGGACCTGTAAAGCCGTAGATTTCCCAATAGCACTCCATGAGGCATTGCTGACTCGTGTCCAGAATCATTTGTCGAGCATTCCAAGGCATTGGTGCTGCCGGTATTTACAGTCTGGTCATATTCTCCTTGATTCGAATGGTGTCCAAACAGCACTATGCTGCCGTCACTGGCTTGTCCGGGGTCGTCTTCTCCCTTGGCCTTGTCTTGGGGCCCCTATTCGGAGGAGCAATTGCAGAAGATGGGGACTGGCGCTGGGTATTCCTGCTTAAGTACGCAAAAGGTATATGAAGACATGAGATACTTTACTAAACCATCTCTAGTGTTCCAGCAGGGGCTGTATCTTGGGTTTTGATCTTCTTTTCAATGCCACCAAATTTTCCAGCTTCAACCGATATACAGGCTCCGGCATCGGAGTATTCACCATTCTGGTCTCGACAATGGTCATTACTTCGTCGGGTTGACTTTCTCGGGGCCTTCCTCGTACTAGCAGCATCAGTGTTCATAGTCGCTGCTTTGCAAGAGGGCAACTATGACTTTGGCTGGGATTCCAGTGCAGTGATCGTCTTCTTTGTTCTCTCCGGGATATGTGTCCCTTTGTTCCTTTTGTGGCAGTGGTTCCTCAGTCGACGACGACTTTCCTGCCAGCCAATGTTGCCCTGGCGATTGCTGGCCAGTCGTTTGTTCGTGGGGACAATTCTGTATGTCGGTTCTGCTTTATGCGGCTCATACGTGAAAAGATGCTAATCAGTGGTTTCGAAATAATTAGTGGATCTTTCACTACAGGCCTCAGCATGACTGTAAGCATCGTCGAAATACCACAACGATTCCAAGTTGTCAACGGCAGCTCCCCAATCGGAGCCGGTGTCAAACTCCTTGCGTTCGCCGTCAGCGTCCCTGCTGGTATGATGTTCTGCTCCATACTCACCGGCCGCCTTCCAGTACCACTTGTTTATGTTGGGATTGTTGGCGTGATCATGCAAGTCATCGGGTTCTTCCTTTACTCCGAGATCAAAGCGGAAACCCACATATGGCCTGGCCAGTTCGGATACCTCGTCATAGCGGGCCTAGGCACCGGACTCGGGGTTGCTGTGTTATACCTCATGTTGCCACTGGTGGTAGCGGTCAAGGACCAGTCCATTGCGCTAGGAACAGGTTTCCAGCTGCGCATGCTGGGCGGGGCCCTTGGTATCGCAGCAGCCACGGCCATATTACACAGCCATACTCGAAGTGGACTTTCATCGTTGCTACCCGCAGACGAGGTGGACGCGTTTTCCATATCGACACAACTTATTTCCACCTTGACGCCAGAAATGCAATCTCGCGTACGGGAGGTCTACGCCCAGGCGTATAGTATGCAGATGAAGATGGTCGGGGGCTTCTCAGCTGCCCAGTTTCTCGCCTTGGCGCTAGTGTGGAAGCGACAAAATGTGCGAATTGTCAAAAGATGAACACAGTGCTTGAACGAGGTCGTACTGTCAAGAGTACAGGCAAGGAAACAGGTTGGGGTATGGATGATTGCAGGATTGCTTCCTCATCCCTTGCCACACGACAAGGGATGTCTAGCCGGTAAACGGCGCCCCTGACTAATCCCGGCAGGTCTCGGGGCGTCGATCTTGTGATGTTCAAGGATATACTGGCATTTTCTTTCTTGGGGATGGCTTGAGTTGTACAGTTACCCTAGCATGTAAGAAGTCCCTCGTGATTTAGTTCCATAAAGCTTGTTTGTTCTTCTTTCAATTGAGCCGGCTTGGCTCTGAACGAACCTTGTGTTTATTTTCCCGTTACAACAACCACACGGAGATTTACTCCAATCATCTCGTTTAGTAGAGTTACATTCCGACCTGCCAATGTTGTACTACGCGAAGGCCCGAACCATTGGGGTGTTAATAGGGGAGCTGGGCGCTCTACTCCTTCCAGCAAGAGCAGGGATTGTCTATCAGATGATTCATCGCATGTTTGCATTGGTTTGCTTAGAGTGACCGTGCCTGAGTATCGTTCACTCATCCTGCGATGCCACAACCCTCACCTTTGTGGTTGAATCATTCCCCAAACCACAGGACTCTCTTCAGACTTGAATACCTTTGCAGTTCTGGCATCTGCAGCATTAACAATGACTATCCATCCTTCGACACTTATCAAGTGCTTCGCTTCCTCTCAGAATACCTATAAATCCACAGAGACAATTGTAGAGCTATACCACAACTGGCCCAGTCACGACCGCGGAATTTGAACCCAGAGGATTTGGTTTCTAGCAACTTAAATAGCAAGGAATTGATTTTAGTCGACGCAGTCAAGACTGACTTAGTAAAGTGATGTTGCTGATGATGCTGTTCATAAATACACGTCTGGGCGCCCGTCGGAACAACGTAGGGCCGAATCTCCATTCTACTCAACAAACGATTTTAAGGATGTTTGAATAGTCTACCGCACTGGCCATTCAAGTTACAAACGTTGTTGTCCTTTCTTACCTTTGCAATATCCACGGCTACCAGTAACTACAGTTTGTGGCTTTGGACCTAGACGGGGGTAAAAATGGCACCAAGTTTCCTATGTTTCCTTCGAGGCGGTTCGACTAGTAATAATATATATACCAAAGTCCCTCTCTCTGTCGCTAGTTCACCTTCATGATTATGCCAGGTTTTACTACGACTACTGGACTACCCTACTTTTTGATTACAACATATACTAGAGCGAGCCATTGGAAAGCCCGCAAACTCCAGTTTCTGCCAAGATGAACGCGATTTACCTGATCCCTGCCACTGCATCGACACATAAATGCATTCAAACGTCAAACTTCTGCTTCTGTCCTATGTACAGCAATGTTATCTACCGAATTATAGCTCACGAATCAAATCGGCCGCCCGCTCCGCCATGGCATAGGTAGTAGCCTGGATATTTCCAGCCGGCTCCAAAGGGAAGACACTGGCATCCACGACGCGCAGGTTTCGGGTGCCGTGAACCTTCAGCTTGGAGTCCACCACACCGCCCAACTCGGCAGGCATCATAGCGCAAGATCCTGCCGGGTGAAAACAGGTGAAAAGACGCTCCTTGACGATCTCCTTAGTCTTCTCGAGATCAGTCAAGTCGATAGCCCGCTCGGGAAGTCGGGAACCGGGCTTCAAGAGACCTGCGAACGGCTCGGTGGCGGCGATCTGGTCGAGGTATTGGACGTGCCGGGCAAGAATTTCGATGTCAAGTGGGTGGGACAGGTAGTTGGGGTCGTAGATCGGCTTTTCGTCCGCATTGGCGGAACGGATATGCACGGAGCCGCGCGAGAAGGGGTGGTTATGCAGGACCAAGATGGTGATGTAGTTTCCGGGAAGGGTTTTGGCAAGGACGTCCGACATTGTGGTTTTGCCTGGGTTCATGTGCACTTGAATGGGGAGGAACATGTATTGTGCCGAGGCGTTGCGGCCCTCTTGGAGAAGCGCGCGTTGGAGAGCGTACTGCTGCTGTTGGGAAGATGACGCATCCTCCAAGTGCTGGTCGAGATGCTTGGTCAGGAGCTGTTCTACCTTCTCTCTTGATAGTTGGCCTTCATGGTCCATCAGGGGAAGATACGCCATGCTAATAGGCATTCCTGCAAGAGGACCGGAGTGCGTTTCCTCGTAGAGCTTGGTCAATGACTGCACAACATTGGGATCACGCGTGATATCTCCCGAGATTTGTCCATCCGCAACCTCGAAGCTGACAGCTGCTAGGCAGTGATCCTGGAGGTTTTCACCAACACCGGGCCGGTCAACGATGACGGGAATGTTGTGCTTCTCCAGAAGGTCGCGTTTTCCGATACCAGAGAGTTCGAGAATCTGAGGCGAGTTGAGACTGCCTGCGCAAATGATCACCTCACGATTTGCCACGATCTCGCGACTCTGTTCGCCTTTGGTCTTGACTTGCACGCCGGTCGCAGTGGCGAGACCATCGGCATCCTTGGTCAATAAGACTCGTTCCACCATGGTCTCGACCAGCAGGTCCAGGTTCGGTCGCTCTGCCACCTTCGGCGAGTAGTAGGCACCGGCATAACCGCGACGGCCGGTGGCCCCATCAACAGACAAGGGAGAAGTGAATGCACCAATTTTGCGGCCCGAGATGGGATCTTCATCTGTTCTCCATCCCAGGTTGCCAAAGGTTTCATCCCAGGCCTGGTTGAAGGGACCATATACATTAGGCAAAGTGACAGGGACCGGACCGTCTTTGCCTTGGTTCCCCTGCTTCATGTACTTATCCAAAGAGAGAAAAGCGGCAGTCTCCTCCGAAGGTGGAGTGTAGGTGTGGAACTTGCGCAGGTAAGGCGCCATGTCTTCAGGCCCCCAACCTTGGTTGCCGAGCGACTTCCATGCGGCGAAATTGGCCTCGGAGGGATACATGATCACAGAGAAGTTCATGGTGGAGCTGCCACCAACCACACGGCCACGTGGCTGCGCAATTTGGCGGTTGTTGACATGCACCTGCAACAGGGGTTAGCCAAGTACCGACATGAGAATCCCGAGGTTGAGACGCCGAATCCTTACCTGCGGCTCACTCATGTAATCCCAATCAAAATCCGGATTGCCATACATGGTCTCCAAGAAACCGGGAGTCTCAATGCGAGGGTCCCCCATGCGGTTGGCACCGGCTTCGATAAGAAGCACATTCACATTGGTATCTTCGGTAAGGCGGGAGGCGAGCACCAGCCCACCAATTCCCGCCCCAACAATGATATAGTCGTAGGATTTCAGGCCGGTCATGGTGAGGGATATGTCAATTGGCGTGTTTAGAAAGGAAGAAACAGGCAGGTCGGCAGGGCCGCACGGAATGAAATAGGAGACCTCGTTTTCGACTCCTGCCTCGACGGGGCAAGTGCACTGATGGGACTCGAACTAAAGGAAATATAGGTAAGTTGGGATTGGCGATGCCAGAGTGGAGCAGATAAAGCAGCCCCCAAACGGTGCTCACTCGGCATTTGGCCAGGAGATTGCTGGATTGGCTTTGGTGGAGTGAATGACAGCGGCCGCCGTTTGAACTAGTTGATTAGCTGCGCGGACTAGCCCTACTAATCAACACTACAGAGCGCCGCCGTCGCGCCAAAGATCCTGGCGGGTCCCGCTTAACCCACTAGATTCACTGACGAGCCTAGAGCTGACAGCTGCATTCCGAACCTAGTTATCCTGGTGATGATCGCAAGCCGGATCGTCGTTGTCTGGACCGGCAAGGCTTTTTGGACTGTGCGTTGCTGACTCCTTCAAGTATCACCAGCCTTGCACGCCCGTGTAAGATGAGTTCCAATTTGTCTGGCCAAGTTCTCACCCGTCACAGCTCCCATGATGCCCGAGGGAACGACACTGGCATGGCGATTCAGTTCTACAATGTTTTTGCGTACCCCATTGTGCGCGACCAGCTGATCGCCAATACCGTGCTGGTGGCACTCAGTACAGCGTCAATCGGGCTGCGTTTCATGTCGCGCAAGATCAGACAGAGCAAATTCTGGTGGGACGATGCATTTATTGTGGTGTCCATGGTGCGGTCACCTACGGAACTAGGACAGTGATTTTTGGACTTGACACTAACTCGCAATCTAGCTGCACACCTATGGTATGCTCGCCATGCAGTACCACTATGCACGGGTCGGCATGCGGCACCATGTTACCGAGCTCCCTGCCGTGAATACCATCTTGATCTTTAAGGTTCGTTGCGAAGGCTTGTCCTGCGCTTTGATCCCCGCGCTAATTGAACCAGATGCTTATTGTCTACCAAATCGTCTATTACAACGCTATGGTCACCGCCAAGTTCTCCTACTTATTTTTCTATCTTCGAATTTTCGTGACGCCTGGATTTCGCATGGCTGCTAGAGTGTGCATGGGCTGCGCGGGGGCCTACTGGCTCGGAAGTATGCTTCAGGTCTTCCTCATCTGTCAACCCTTTGCGAAAAACTGGAACGCTGCTTTGCCTGGTCATTGCGCTAGCATGAACGTCGCCTTTTCGACCATTGGTGCCTTCAATCTCGTGACAGACCTTCTAATCATGGCTCTACCGGTTCACCATATCTGGAAACTGCAGATGTCGACCGGGACGAAAGTAGCTCTGTACGGTATATTTGGCGTAGGCTTGTTGTGAGTACCTCCAACTCCGAAAATCAGATGGTAAACGCCTGCGAAAACTGACAGCTCGTCATTAGCATCTCTGCCATCACAATCATTCGGATTCATGTCCTCACCACCGTTGACTTCACCGACCTTTCATACAGCATGATCTGGGCCGCCTTCTGGAGTGTCACAGAACCTGCACTAGCAATTACCAATGCCTGTGTGCCCATGATGCGTCCTGTATTCAAGGCAGCATTTCCAGGTATATTTTCATCTGCTAAAAATGCTTACTCGTCGCAAACTGGAGCTCAATCCGGTGCTTCGGGATCGGCGTTCAAACGGATGCGGGATACAGAGAGTGAGATGCCTCTTACGCACCTGGTACCGACCAAGAGTGGCAGCCGCGGTGTGGAGTATGAGACATCACTGAATGATCGCTCGCAAGATGAGCATGTGCCTAGGAGCGTGATTGGGGAGTCGGAGCGGTAGTTGGGTGTGAAAAGTTCCATGAACCTTCTCTTATGTGTGTATTGCATAACTCCATAATTTTGACATGTACAGGGATCTTATGCTTGGTTACATACATGCTAGACCACCCCCGTTCTTCTGGCCAGACAGTCATAGCCTCACAGACTAATAGAATTATCATCATATCACAACCATAGCCATTACCGGATCTTACCGTCAAGCCTGATCTAGCATATTCACACCTTTCGCGCTCACTGCAGTCTATTCTCTGACATAGTCCAGCATGCTCTCGACCTCGGTGAGATCCTCTTGTTTGCTGAAATCCAAGGGCTTATCGTGGAGTGGAACGAGCTCTTCCCCGGATGTTGCCTTCGCATCGAAATGGCAGAACCTCACACTCTTATGATGAGCTAATGCTGCATAAATCTTTCCCAACTCGTTCTTGACAGTGGAGCCAAGGTCTTCCACAAACTGATGCACAAATATACCATCCCACCAGTCTAAAGTCTCTGCGGGTCGACCCTTGCATCTGACGGTAATTATCTGTGGCCAGAGCGAAGGGTCCTCGAGTACTTCTGGGGGCATTGATTGAATAATAGCAAGGCCAAGCATGTGACTGTTTTTGGATACCACATTTTGGTAGCAATATACGCAATTACGTTTGGAGCAAAACTAATCTACTGCTATCGCCTGCCAGATGTAATCGACACTCTCGTCGGTGCTATTACTCTGGGTCTTGTGTATTTCAAACAGGTAAGCGAGGTGGTCTTGAGGGATCTGTCGGAAGTAGTGGTCATATTTTTCCTCGGGTTAACGAAGCGAAATTTTGGTCTGAATAGAATACAATGTCGAATATGTAGCACAGATAGAAGAGTGATAATGAGCAAAGACGATATAAGAAGTCCAAGGTGTGAAGGCGCTTCATTACTACTCCATATTGTCCAACCCATAATGGCATGAATGGCTGAAAGATAGGAATCCATTGTACGGACTTCTTGCAGCCCGGTAGCCGGCCAGACGATGGGCCATTCAGACATGCCCAATAATCCATCCTCAAGTGGGGTGTGCCGCGGCTTAGGGTGATACATTATAGGTGCATTCTGATATTCAGATCGCTTGGGCGCAAGTCAGCGCATGTCTCCTGCAGTCCTGCTGCATTGACAGCCAGAACCAGGGAATCTTCCTTCATGAAGTGCTAGGCGCTGTCCAGTCAACGTCATCTCTCGGATAGAACGGCTATATTGAAGCGCGTGTGGTTACTAAAGGCATCAGATAGCCATGAAACTTCCGACTAGACGTATGATTGTAGGGCTTCACCAATCGACAAGGCAAGGTAGCGATGAGGCCGTGACGTTTTCCCCCGGCGTATCTGAATGAAACAATTGGACTTTTCCTTCGAAAGAGTGAGGTTATGGTTGATGCGACTGAGCTTAAATTTCCCTCTTCCTGCCCGTTTCTCCTGCATTTTCTTTTCCTCAATGACCCTCCATAGCTCAACTCGGGGATCATTCAATCGCATCATCGGCTGAAGTCTTTCCGAATTGCACTTAGATCTCCGGTATACCTGTTCGGGGCATTCACCTTGCTAATATTAAAAAGACCATGCCGCCCAAACTGATCTGCCCGCTGTGTGAGACCTTTCTCGAGCAGGACTGGGAGCGAAACCATTCAGGGCCTTGGCGTTGGAGGACTCGTCCTTGGTTCACAGAAGTTCGGGGTCTTTATGCAGTCGACGGTGACTTGGACCAAATCGCGGTCACTGGGGTCGGCGTGATACGCCACGACAATATTCTTCACGCATCAATCGACCCGGACAAAGCCTATTTCGAGGTGGACGACTTCAATGCCCTTAACCTATGGGCGATCCGCGACTTTTCGACAACTTGGTGGTGTTTTGCATTTCACGATGTATGTTGGAACTTCCTTCTACAGAGGCTCCGCCTAGGTGATGCCTTCATCGATGTTGCAACCATCGTGAGGTCAGTCTTCTTCCAACTGCACAACAGTCCTGCTCCCAAAGCCCCCGGTCCGCACGATAGTAGGTGGATATATAAAACCGCTGACCCGAATTCACTTCCCAAATTGGAAGTATTGGAAACAGTAAGGGAAGGTGTGTATGCGGAAATGCATTATGGATCGGACACCACTCAGCCAGAGGATATGACGCTGGAAAGTGACAGCGAGTATTCTTCAAGTTACGAGACGAGGACACGAGCAAATTGGAGTGAGTCTGGGGCCGGTATCTTCAGAATGCTTCCAGAGGAAACGATATATGAGGTCCTTACCTATCTAGACATCCGCGATGTCCTCAAACTAAGACTCACATGCCGATATCTAGGTTGGCTGGCAAGTAACGAACAGCTTCCTCCGTCCTTCTGGCGGAGTAAATTTATGCTTGGCCAGGAGTTTTATTATATGTTCCTCGACCTCTGTACCCCACGGAATTGGTTCAGGGTCTACTCCGCTATGAAGGCATTTTCACATGGCTCATCGCGAGCCCTAGCCCATAGAAAGGAAATCTGCGAACTATTGGAGCCTATTGCATCTCTTGTCGAACTAGAGCCAACTAAACGGAATGGTGGGCAAGGTTTCAGCTATTCTCTGGTGAAATCTCAACGCAATGTTCCTGTCTTAGTGAATATAGCGATCTCAAGGAGAGGCATTCACCATGCAAAAGTCATGGCCTTTTTCTCTGGCCAGGAAGCATCTCCCGAGGGAGATTATCCTGTTCAAGATCAATGTGAATTACTTTATCGAAAGGCACAGTTGTCCGTGGCCCTGCGGGATTGTCGTCCACTCCGGGTTGGTATTTCGACTGTCGAATTTGGTTCAAATCAATTCATATCTGGTATCAAACTGTTTCCCTCAAGCGATGGAAGCGGAATCAGTCAATCAATTGGATACCCCAACCCAGATACCGAAAAATGGATTGACATAGACAGGTACAAACGCATCAGGGCTTTCGAGGTACTGTTCTCTCCGGAAGGGCTCAAGGCTATCCGTATACTATACACTGGTTCGAGAGAGTCTGCCTGGGTTGGCCAGCCTAACGTCAAGAAGTTAGCTCGTGGCTTACTTTTGGTTCCAAGTGGTAAAGTGCCGTACTATCTACTAGCAGGCCTGGATCGATTCAAGATTGTTGCACTTGGGTTTGGCGAAATGGTTGAACCCGGTGAGCGTGGTTCGAGACCACCCCGTTCTTCCGCGGCCATAACGCGCTATGCACGTGTGGCTTCTCATCTCTGGATGCCACCTGTTCCACTATACGGGAGTTCAATCATAAGCCCCTTGCTCCCTTGCAGGCCCTCTGGACCCTTCAATCCACTATTGCATTTTGACTTTGGCTTCCGTGGAGGCAGAGGTCTCGAGAAGTTAATTTGTCTTGAATTCCATATGAGATTTTACCGCCATCCGCTTGTTGGAATGGTCGCACACTACTCTGACGACAAAGTTTTGAGTTGTGGCGTTGTTGGTGAGAATGTCATGTCACTTCCCATAAATGGCCCAAAAGGAGAGCGTGTCACGCAAATAAGGATTCTGAGGGATAACCGCTATCACAACCGAGCCGTTCGCTTGGTCGGGCTTGAGGTCCGTTTTACATCGTCTCCAGACTTTTCCCACAATGCTGACCACGGTCTAGGTCTCGACCAACTATGGACGAACTGCCACTTTTGCCCCCCTCGTCCATCATCTCAATGCATCCGCCCGAATGATACCAGGTGTGCCAACGGGACATACCATCACAGGACTCGTTGCTCAGCCAGCCGTATGTAAAACCCTCTCAATCCGTCCGGATAGTAGCTGAATAAAAACAGGCATACAGAAAGTATATCGATCAACTTCGAATTCACTCTCAGAAATGCGATGCCCCACCCGCCATTCCCCACAATTTGAACGCTGAATGCCATCGAGTTCCGGAAGATCAGGTACAATATGATCTGATGTTGCGCCAAGATAGTGGCGAGAAGGACGATATGAAATACTACCAAACCTATGCATCACTCAATGGAGTTCGCAGAATCACCGCATCTACAGGTGATAGGGGCTATTTCCGCTCTAAGCATTGGATCACTGGTTTGAAAATCGAGTATTATAACCACCCCACTCCAAGCGTTGTTGGGCAGTGGATACGTCCACTAAGTAATGCAGCCCTTAGACTGTCTCCAGGTGAAGAAATCAGATCGATCACTGTATGGGTTGGCCTGGATGCTTGGATTTCCCAGTCTCCTGAGTCGAGTACAGGCAACATTGCAGCTATATGGATCAACACAGGGGTGAATAGAGCGACGTTTGCTACTCAGGTATTTCAGTCCGGCGCAGCCATACAGTCTCAATATCTGAGTGACACTGACGAGGAGCTGACGGCTATCTCATGGGTAGTCAGCGCGAACTCGGATCGGATTCGCGCAGTCATCTCCCCATACAGAGATCAGAGACCTCGAACACTCGAACCAACTCCCTCTCCGCCATATGATCGGGTAAGGAAGCTTTACTTTGAGGGTCAAGAAGGCTATGCCCGGCGAAAGAAGATAGTCCAGGCAACAGCCTATATATACGACAGACAGTTATGTGGACTGAGTTTTACCTATTCGTCAACCCATCAAGCCGCCGTTGGTGATATACGTGACTGCATGTCACGTCAAAGTGTTTATTTTTTCAAAGATGATGCTATCATCGGCTTCTCAACCAAGATATCCGGCACTGCACTAGTGGAGATCCAGTTTGAGGTTAAACAGAAGAAGACGGTTCGACGTCTCAGCCTCAGAGACCCCGACCGTGAGCCCTTCGAGTATGACCAGCATCGTTACTGGGGAGATACACCAGCCAACCTTGAGACTGCAACTGACATCTCCGAGCAGCGACGAATTGAAAAGGTTTCTGGAACGCCCGCTGATTCCAGGCTTACTGGAATCTTTGTGTATTGTGACTGCTTGTCTGCGATCGGCGCCATATATGAACCTACCTCTTCGCGGTGAATGTAGAGGCAAATTACACATTCACTCGTGACCACATTCAAATTGCTTTTTGCTCATAGGTACGGCGATAGAAGAAAGTGATTTATAGAACTGTGAAGCCTTCCAACCTTTTAAGTATGCAACCCGGAAAACTTTTTACGTAACGGAGCCAAATAAGGAGATATTGACGATGTTAGCATTCGCAACGGGGAATTTCCGAGCGCCCCGTATATAAGTAGTAAATAACCGCACTGACAGAATGATTGGTCGTACGATCTAACTGACGTCAGTAAGGGACTAATTCATGCTTAAAATGTGGACTACTAGCACTCCATACTGCATCAACTATATACCTTCAAGCGAGTGGTTATATATTTATCCCGAAATCCCGCAATCTTTCGGAGAATAAGGCATCACCCCAACGGTGTAGAATGCGGGGACCGGGGAATTCCAGCCTGACAAGCGGAACCTGAATTTCGCAATGCGAAGACACGACCAGAGACCAACATATGGCTGATGGTAGCTGCTCCTATCGCAGCAAGTGAAGATTCATCAACATCAAAGTCTAGTGTTCAGCCGATAATCACCCGTTTCGATACCAAGCAGGGGACCCCCGCCGTGCTGAATCCC